AAAATTCATTTTCTAAAATGCTAAAAGGCATGCCTGACCTCATCTTCAGATGAATCACTCTCATCAACTGCTTGATGGGATTGGGAGCTATCAGCAAGCTCATCTTGCTCATGATTATCATCCAAGCCATCATTATTGCCACTCTCAATGAAGCCCTGATACAGTTACTCTTAATTAAATATTTCCAATAATATATAAAAATTCATTGTCAAAGAAGAGAAGATGAAAATGATTTTGGTACTTGCTGGGAAACAAAGAATAACATTTTCAAATGTCCTGAAACAGGAGAGATTTGTTTGGGGTTTACTTGCTTTCTTTATCATTATTGAAAATATTGTATCTTGTCATAGTTAGGTAACTCAAGAACAACCCATCCTGAAACAAATAAAGCAATTACCAAATCTCTCATCTCCAAAGGATTCACTTTCTCTGGCCTCTGACTCTCCTGATGGTTCATAGTCTTCAGACTTGGAGTCTTAGACCTTGGAGATGTCCTGGAATTGCACATAATTGGTGATTTATCAAGAAAAATGCAACAACCAATAAGAATGCATAAACCAGCTAAAAGATTTCAAAAAATTGAGGCCACCATCTATAAACATAGTACTCCATCCCAGAGGAGGCAGAGGATTCACTTTCTCAAGCTTCTGACACTCTCAACAATTGATGGTTTGACTTGACATAACTGGGTAGCTAAAGATGTAACTCAAAAGAAATAAAACAATGATGTTAACACAAATATATCTAAGGAGCAACGAAGTAAGGCTACAGCGATTAAAATTAATGTGAGGTGCAGACATGCTGCACCCTTCATTTATATGTGTATACATTTATATGTATTATTCCTAATTCTTCTTCTAAGCTTTGTACTTTGCTAAGCACTACCCTTGCTACTCCCCCAAATATCTAAGGGAAAATTCAAAAAAAGAATTACCAAATTTCCCAAGAAACAGCAATATCAAACCAACTTAAAAGGCATTTGCATTTGTCAACCTATTTTAAACATTGTGCATTTTCTGCAAAGTAAATAATATATTATAGTAACAATGTGCTTGTTCTACCAAATGGACCAATGTCTTGTAGAATATCCTAGCCCCTTATTAATCCAGATGATTAAAAAGTTAGACAGGGAAATAGTTGACTGCCCCTTTTAGTAGTAAAAAGCTGAAACCTTCTTCTAAAGATAGGCCTCCCTACTTCTAAATCAAAACATTAGTAAAGAGAAACCAGAATTTTGTTTTATGCTCAGCCAATAAAAGTATATTTTATTATCAAAGAAAGAGAACTATAATGCTGGGAAATTTTGTCACTGTCAGAAGCATATCACATCTCAATAAAGAAACCAAAACCGATCCACCAAAAGGCAGTTTGAGAAGGACTTGGAACCTGATTATATCAACTCAACCCAAAACTGGTTAAGAAAGAGTTAGGTGCGAACTATCAGCTGAACACAATAGGAGACGTGGAACTTGATCATATAAATGACTCTTCCAAATCTCAGTGACGGGAAAAGAGTTACATGAATAAGACCTCATAAATTGCATATCTTGTATAATTCAGATTCCAAAATTGTTTTGTGGGAGAGAGCAGTTGTAAGCAAGCTCTTGTGAAATAGAAATCATAGGAGAGTCGACTGCACAAGCAAAGTATATGTCATCATAGCAAACACTTCAATAAAATGCAAACAAGTATCTCTCTTCAATCAAGGCAGTGAAACCAATTTGAGCTCTACTTTGCACAAAGCTAAAAATAGAAGCAAAACTTCCAAACCAAGAGTAAGAAACACCCACACGGACCCTAGTGACGCACCTATCTTCCCTTTTTCATGCTTTAAGACAACTCTTCTCTACAATAAAGAAAAGAACTGAAACTAGCTTTTTACATGAAACTCTAAGATGTTGCAAAAGATTCACATTGAAACTGAAATAATTAGATAAAGTCAATCCAAGCAAAATTACAACTTGCCTATCATAAGAAATGATTGCTGGGGAAAATCAGTAAATTAAAAAGCAAAAAATTAAACATAAATTTAAAACAAAGTCATAAAATTGACAAAATAAAACAAAGAACTAAAGCACAAATATTAAACTAATCTTTTACCTTGACTGTTCAGCCAAAGTGAGTAAGGGAGACACAGATAGAAGAGAAACAAATGGTGGCGTCGGCGTCAGCGGAAAGAGTGGGAAGACTGAGAGAAGGTACCGGCGGAGGAGAGACAGTCCGGCGCGTCAGGGGAGGAAACGGAAGCTGGCCGGCGGGGAAAAGAGGAGAGAGGACGTGTTGGCGAGAAAAATACAGAACAAAAGAAGGTTTAAAAGCTTAAAACCCTAAACCCGCACTTTTATTTATTTTTGATGAATGCGCAAGAAGAGGAAAAGGAAGGAGAAAAAAACAGCGGAAGGAAAAAGGTTTTTTTTTATTTCCTTGTAAAATTTGGATAGGATGTTAAATTTTTTATTATTATTTAAAAATTTTAATTTTTTTATTTATTATCATTCATATTTTTTATTTTTATTTTAAATCAAATCTCAAATGATTAAATATTAATGATAATCTATTTTTTATGAATTAAAATATTATTTATTTTTTTTATATCATGTAAAAATAATTTAATGTATTATCACATTATAATATATAATAAAATGACATATTAATGTGATGATGTTAATATTAAATAAACAGAAAATGATGAATATATTTTGATTAATGTGTTAATTGAATATAATAAAAGAATCAATACTTAAATTTTTTAGAATAATTTATAAAATTTTTCAAAATGAGATTTTTGTTTAAATTTTTACTTTTGTATATTAATGGCTTCGTCACTTCAATACGTTATTTTGTTATATATTATAATATATTAATAATTCATCTCAATTTTAAATAATATAAAAAAATAAATAATATTTTAATTAATAAGAGATAAATTATCATTAATTTTTAATTATTTGAGATTTAATTTAAAATAAAAATTTAAAAATTTGAATAATAAAAAAATAAAAATTTATGTAAAATTTTTAGATATCATATTAAAATTTTACAAAAAAATAAAAAATAAATACTTTTTCAGTCCCTTTGTTTTTCTCTCCTTTCGTTTCCTCTTCTTGCCTATTCATCAAAAGTAAATAAAACTTCAGGATTTAGGTTTTAAGTTCTTAAACCTTATTTTGTTCTCTATTTTTCTCCATCACCTACGCTAGCGCCTCCTCTCTCCTCTCTTCTGCCTATCGATGAGCCTTTCTCTACCAGCCAACCAGTTTTTGTTTCCACCCTTGACGAGTGAGACTGTATCTCCTTCGTCGGTACCTCCTCTCTCTTTTCTCACTATTTCCCTTGACGTTAATGGCGTCATTTGCTTTTTTTTATGTGTCTGCTCACTTTGGCTGAACAGTTTGGGTTCGCATAATTGAATAGAAGAGAAATAAGATAGTTATTCTACAAGAATATAATAATTGAAGAATAACTATTATATAGTTTGATTAATAAAAATAAAATAGGATAAGAATTATTATTATAATTTATTTAAATAATTGGTTGGTAAGAATAGTTTTAGGAATACATGGTAAATGATAAAAATACCTTTTAATAAAATTAAAGAGTTTATTTTATTAAAAGATAAAAATACTATAATAGTAGGTAATAAAATCAAAATACATTTTACTATAGTAAAATAATATTTATTATAGTTAAATAATATAAATATATTAAATTATATTTAAATATTTCCATTTCTATTTTGTTTTTTGAAAATGAAGTAAAAAATTCTTTGTAAATAGGTATTTTTGTAAAGTGGAGCAAGGCGGTAGTAATTGGAAGCTCCAAAAACGAAATTACTTTAGAGAAAAGGAGTGAGGAAAAGAAAGAAAAAAAATACATTTAATATTATTTTATAAGATAATTTTTAAAATTGTAAAAAGATATTTTTGTTTAATCAATTTTGTTTTTTATTCTCAAAAACTTGAAATAACCATTAGGGAGACTTTGGTGATGATTATTCAAGTTCTTCTTAGAATGGCTGTTCCGAAAAATAGTCATTCTATTAAATGTAGTTTTATCTTAAAAATGAAAATAGGAGGAGAATGACTATTTTATCTCCCTCAACCAAGTATGCCCTCAAGGTAAAAGATTAGCTTAATATTTGTGCTTTTATATTTTTTTTGTCAATTTTATGACTTTGTTTTAAATTTATTCTTAATTTTTTACTTTTTAATTGACTGATTTTCCTCATCAAGCATTTCTTGGGATAGATAAGTTGTAATTTTTCCAATTATTTCAATTTCAGTATGAATCTTTTACAACTGACTTTGTCTAATTATTTCAGTTTTAGTATGAATCTTTTGAAACATCTTATAGTTTCATATTAAAAAGATAATTTTAGTTCTTTTCTTTGTTGCAAAAGAAGGGTTGTCTTAAAGCATGAAAAAGGAAGGCTAAAATGTGTTACTGAGGTCCTTGTGGTTGTTTCTTACTTTTGGTTTGGAAGTTATCCTTCTACTATTAGCTTTGTGCAAAGTAGAGCTCAAATTGGTTTCACTGCCTTGATTGATAAGAGATACTTGACATACACTTGGTTTGTGCAATCAATTCTCCTCCCCTGGGTGCTTTTCTCTTTGAAAGCACCTACCTGGCATTTTAATTTTTTTCATATTTTCTATCAAAACGTTTACATTTTTTGGTTTCATTATTTATTTTGAAAATTAATAGATTTGTGTGAAATTTTAGTTAAAATTAAGTTAGGATATTTTAACTTAAAATTTTCATACTTGAGCTAGACAAACTTATTAAATACATAATATATTTTTATTTACAATTCATTCTAACTAATATATGTAGCAAATATTAAACTATTTATATGAAACATAAATGATAATTATTTTATAATAATAAAAGTTTCTCAAAATGTTGGGCTGAGCTCAAGCTTTCTTTTACAAGACCAGACCTAGTTGGGCTTAATTCTAGCCCGTTCCTAGCCGCCCCTGAACACGTTGTCCGTTCATAGTTTTGGCATGTTTGTCAGTCACGCCACATGCCAGTTCGTTGTTACTGGTTGCGCACTTTTCTTCCGTCTCATCCTCCGCCCGCAGATCTCTTTGATCCCTCTCTCTCCGCCGCGCCTCTCTCCATCCGGCGCGCTTGTCTCTCTTCCCACTTCTCACAACCAAATATAAACAAACATATCAAGTGTCTCCCCAGCTCTGGGTAATCTCTGTCTCTTGCTTTGTTACAAATTCGGAGTCTCCATGTCTCATGCTTATAGGAGCAGAAATTGGATATGATTTACTTGATGTTGAATTTTGAATTGATTTTTGCAATCTGTCTTCTCTTTTGATTGACTTTAAAAAAGTGGCATTTTCTGTGCTGAAGGAGAACTAAGAGACCGTTTAGGATCTGTTTGGTTCATGGAAATATGACGGAAAAGAAAATAGAATTCTTGGATTTCTTGTGCTTGGTGGAGTTGGAAAAAATAAGGGTAAATTTAACTAAGGAAAAATATAAATTAGTGATGTTCGAAGGTTATGGTGGTTATTGACGTGTAGTTTGTTGCTTTATGGTTGGTCTTTTTCTTAAGAAGTACGTTGAGCTGCTGCTTTTGGTTTTGTGATATGGGTTGCAGTTGCAGAGGTTACGAATTGTGAAGTTGCAGACCAAGTGTTTTTTTATGTTTGTATCAGTTGGCTATATTGTTTGTTCAATTGAGCTGACTGGTCTTGTTACTATTCTCCTATGAGGTGTGTGTCTTTGGTTTTTATTTTGATCTTAGTTCCTATTATTTTCTTATAGTAATAAAATGTTGCTTTTGTTGGCTTAGATAAAAAAAAAAAGTAGCATTCTTTTATTAGGCAATTGGATAATGGAATTTTTCTTCTCATTTTCCTTGCATACATAACAAACTGAGAATTTTCATTTTCCTCCTATTCATTTTATTTTCTTTTAAATTTTCCCTAAATTTTCTTTTCCTTCAAAATTTCTATGAAGCAAACATGGCTTTGTTTATCACTTAATTATGAAATAAAGTTAAGGCCATAGTTGTTGGATGAACATCTCATTCATATGCTTTCTCGAAACATGAATAAAATGAGAAAAACAGAAATTGTATTAAAAGGTTTGATGAATCAATATGCTTAGGGTATTTTAGCTTTTTTTGGTACGCCTCAGGCAGTGTGAGAATTGAGTTTACTTATTGACATGGGTATTTTAAGGCATTTTGCCTTTTTCTTTTTATTTCTAAAATTAAATAATTCAGTTGGCCATATATGGATTTTATGTGTTGAATTTGACATTTGTAGTAATCAAAGGTTAATGGTTTATTATGATTTTTTTTTTGGCTACATTGGATTTTCAATGGTTTGATATTTGGTGGGACAGAATTCTATTCTCACTATGAAAATCATGCATGATTTTTGATCAGACACATTCGCTAAGCTCTACTTCATGTTACTTGAGTCATCATCTCTTTATATGTTGGATGATTGGTTAGCTTCAGAGATTTCTTCTTTGTACATGAGAGGATCATTATTTATTAAAACTCTGGTTAAGCTAGTGCAAATTGAAAATTGTCCTCTTTTACGTCAGTTGCTTTGTAATTGTCTATTACTTTAAATTCATAATTCTGATGGTTGATTTGTTTTACATTTTTATTTATTTTGGGTGGGAGCAGGGATGTGGGGTGTGGGTGGTGGTTTAATTTTTGTTTTCAATTTATGCCATTGAGTGATAGTTTTTTTTTTTTTTTGTATAGTCGAGATATATTGCTTTTTGAAATAATTTCCTTCTTGTAAGAGAAATGGTTGAATCAAGATTGGTGCTTTCCTAATTTTCTTGTGAAGATTTTCTACTTGGCTTATAGTTTAAAACATATTTTTGGTGGGTGCTTATTATCCTAAGAGAGACAAAGAATGGAAGCACAAAGGAGTCAACCTGAAAAACAACCATCACCTGCTTCACCAGCACCAGTGGCGGCTTCATGTAGAAGGAAAAAGAACGAGGAGGCCACCTTCCTTGAAGACTTGAAGGATCACATTGATGAGTTCATTAATGCATCAATGGATGAACACAAGAGTTGCTTTAAGAAGACCATCCAAAAGGTTCTAGCCTTCATCTTCTGTGCTAATGCTGTTGTATAGGGAGCTTCCTTGTTGTTTATCTACTCTATGCAAGTTGGTGTCTGACTAAAAGTTTGGTTCATTTTCAGATGTTTGGAATGTCAAAAATTGTAGCAGAAAGGAATGCTGAATCAAAGGAAGTTGAAAGTGTTCTGCCCCTTCGAACAACAGTGACAAAGTAGACTATCTTCCTCCTCCTGTAATAACGTGACATGTAGTTCTACATCTATATGAGTTAGCAGTAAATTGTTAAGTCGTGTTACCCATGCTTTCAGTTTGATAACTTTGCATAAACAAGTCTTGTACTAATACAGGATTTCTGTTTGTTTTTAACTCGTCAGTTCAGATAAAGTAATTCTGTTGATTTTATATGGCCATCATAGTCAAATTATTTTGGATCTAGAATGTAAATTATACTTCTCAACAATGTTATATGCTTGCTAAGGTTTGAATTTTAGACCTCTAACAAGAACACTAACCTTTTCACCATCAGGCTGAAGCCCTTGGTCTGATTTTTCTTAAAACTATGTCGTCTTATAGTCTTCTTGCACTACCCAAATCTCTAGTTATAAGAAGGAAAAAATGAAAAAAAGATGCTTTTGCACTTAGAGAGTGTAAGAAGGTTTTAAAATGACGTAATTTAAAAAAAAAAATAAGAAAGAAAAAGAAAAAAAATAAAAGTAAAAATTAGTAAAACTAAGGGTGCTAAGAAGTTTAATGTTCTTGCTAGAGATCTTAAGTTTGACCTTTAACAAAAGCATATTATATTTTGGATAAGAAAAGATATGGTTTTAATATGTTGATGTGGCACTACCATGTTAATATGTGAAGTTAATGGGATAGCGTCACGTCAATATATCACTATTGCACATTGTCATATTACAAAAATGTACCGTATCAGTATTGACGTTATTATATTTAATGATTAAATTGAATCTTGTCAAGAAAAATGATTAAATTAAAATAATTTTTAAAATTAAAAAATTAAATTATTTCAAATTGAAGTAGAAAAGTTAAATTGAACAAAATACATAAATGCAAAGACTTTTAGGTATTTTGATTGTTTTTTTTCGTGTGTAGCTTGCTAGTTGCTATGATAGATAATCTATAGAAATTCCTACACTGAATTGAACATTCCAAACTAATGGAACACCTCAAAAATTGTTCTAACTAAATTTAAAAAGAAAAACAAAAGCAAATTCACTTTAACTCGATTAATTTTTTAAATTCAAAATAATTTTGCTCACTACTAACAATGTCCTACAACAATTAGGTTCTGTTTGGTTTTGAAGAAGCCAAGCACTTTGCAAGGATTTTAATTGGATGTAATATTTTACCATGTTTGGTGTGTTATTTTTATTGTGAAATGACATTGCAAGACCAAAATTGAATGTGATTCCCTCTTGGGTAGGTGGGAAAGTGACTTTCCTATGAAAAAGGGGTAGTCAACGAATATGTTGGATGAATATACCATTTCAAGTTAAATATTTAATAAAAATAAATATTTAGTAATTTTATATATTTTAATATTTAAATAATAATTATTAAAATATTATTTTTATATTATTATTTATTATTTTAAAGATAAAGTTAAAAAATTAAAATTTTATATTAAAAAATAAATATATTTAATTTTATATTTTCATGTATATAGATAATTTTATAAATTTACACTACATTTTTAACAAAGTGCTTTCAAATCAAACTCTACAATATAATTCTCTCAGTAATCACATTTCTTACAGTTATTATTTTTTCATGTTATATCAAATGCTGTAAAATTATCTTCCCAACAATTATATTTCTAATAATCATATACTCAGTAACCATATTTCTAACAATATATTAAATGCAACCTTAGTATCTTAATTCTTTTGGCTTAATTGTAACAACTATATACCCTTTTTGAAGATAGATTTTAAATAATTAAGGCAGTACTTTTATTTTTTTGGATGAATTATGGAGAGTTATAAAGTGCACGCTTGGTTGCTTTGCAGCTATAGTTACAATCAATTAAAAATATTTTAACCCAAAAATAGAAGAATTTAGCACTAATATATTTTTGTCAAAAAGAGTTAATCTAACAGCACCTATATTTGTATGTTTTCACAGCTTGATCTAGTCAGATCAATTTTACTTTATGTGTGTTAATTAAGCTTACTTTAATATGAATTTTTATGATTTAGTATTACGCTTTCGAGCAATGAATGGAACGGCACGGTGAGAGTGGGAGCATTTTCTCTTTGATGCGAGGGCATTAGAACACAAAACCAAACTTGTTCGTAAATCCATTCATTCATTTATTTTATTTATCACCATTAAAGACAGAATATCAATCAAGTTTGCAGCTAGCTAGACTGGGAAATTATGAGTTTGTAAAATTAACTAATTTGATTGGTGGGTCCAAAACGGAGTAATTTCCAGGGCACGTTGATTCTTTAGCAAGTTCATTTATCCATAAGAATACAGGCAGGACCTTTCTGTCTCTCTTTCTCTCTATATATATGCATAAGAATGGCAAAATAATTCGTTAACAATCATCTCTGTGCTATATTCATTGCTTTTGCAATTCATTTATCCACAACTATGGCAGTTGCAAACCAGCATGGATGTCTTTGTTTGGCCTTAATCTTCATATTTGGAACTAATTTAGTCTTTCAAGCCACTGCCCGCACTCTTCCCATCCAAGATTCAGCAATGTTTGAGAGGCATGAGCAATGGATGGCACAGTATGGACGAGTATACAAGGACAGCAACGACAAGGAAAAACGTTTCAAGATTTTCAAAGAAAATGTGGCTCGTATCGACGCTTTCAACACTGCTAATGGCAAGCCTTACAAGCTTGGCATCAACCAATTTGCAGATCTTACAAACCAAGAGTTCACAGCCTCTCGGAATAGATTCAAGGGCCACGTGTGTTCCAACACAGCTACTTCCTTCAAGTATGAAAACGTCACTGCAGTACCATCTGCCATGGACTGGAGACAGAAAGGAGCTGTAACACCCGTCAAGGACCAAGGCCAATGCGGTAATTAAGTACAAATTTTTTAATTTAAGAAACTAGTAAAGCTCATTCATGTCTTAAGTTCTGACTCTATTTTCGTGTAATGTCATAAAATGTAGGATGTTGTTGGGCGTTCTCGGCTGTGGCAGCAATGGAGGGGATCAACATGATTACAACCGGTAAGCTAATCTCTCTCTCGGAGCAGGAGTTGGTTGACTGTGACACCAAAGGCGAGGATCAAGGTTGTCAAGGTGGTCTGATGGATGATGCATTCAAGTTCATCCAGAAGAATCAAGGCCTAACCACTGAAACCGATTACCCCTACAAGGGAGTTGATGGGACTTGCAATACCAACAAGGAAGCTAACCACGCAGCCAAGATAAATGGATATGAAGATGTGACTGCAAACAGTGAGACGGCATTATTGAAGGCTGTCGCCAATCAACCAGTTTCTGTTGCTATTGATGCTGGGGGTTCCGAATTCCAGTTTTACTCGGGTGGTATTTTTACAGGAGCTTGTGGAACTCAGCTAGACCATGGTGTTACCGCTGTTGGTTATGGAGTTGGCGATGATGGGACTAAATATTGGCTGGTGAAGAACTCCTGGGGCACGAGCTGGGGTGAAAAGGGGTACATCAGGATGCAGAGAGATGTTGATGCAAAGGAAGGCCTCTGCGGTATAGCAATGGAAGCTTCTTACCCTACTGCATAAAATTCATTCTGATAAGGCAATTAGCTACCACTCAGAACGTAATACTATGATGTTTATCCTACTCTTTAGATTTCTCTAGTTCGAGCTTTTGGTTGCTCATATTATCATCAAAACTCTATGTTTGGTCTCGTATACCAAAACATAGTCTAGAAAACTGGTATTGCTGTAAAGTACGAAAACTTATGAATATCACTGTCACTTTCTCATGCTGGACTATTCTGCAAGTTCTTAAACATTGCTATATTGGTCAGAAGACTTGTTGGCCTGTATACTAAAACAACCATACCAACTATTCTGCAAGGACATGCTTGCGAACCATGGATTGAATGAACAAAACTTCTGCTTGGCTATAACAGATTTCAAGTAGTTTTCTAGTATTGTTATATACAGACTATTGATTATATTGATGGATGAACAGTAGTCGATATTTGTTTAAGGAAAATTTAGTGGGGGCAGGGGCTCGGTCTAAGACCTCCTTTGGTAAATATATATAGCTTTATTTCTTCAAGGACCGGGGGCAGAGGGCAGCTTGATTACGGGCCCAAAATTTTTAAATTTTTTGTTTATTATATTTTTTTCTTTATTATTATTATTATTATTATTATTATTATTAGTTATTTATTTATTTTTCATTTTTATTCTATTTGTTCATGTGTTCTTAGTTTATATAGATTTTCTTTTTAAAATTTTTATGAACCATTAATTATATTCTTCTTTCTTTAATTATGTGAGTTTTATTTTTTTATGATTTTAGTCTTTAAAATTAAAAAATTATTATATAATTCTCAAATATAAATTATAATAATACATTTTTAACTGTTGTTTAAAATTTTATCAATATATATATTTTTAATCCTAATTGATAGATTAATTCGTTTTATTTATATTGAGAAAAAAATTACTAACTTTTTCAGTACAGAGTCAATAATTGATAAATTAAAATTCAAAAAAAATTCTTCGAACACAACTTTCTTAAAAAATTATTATAAATCTTTTTATCTTGTTATTTTTTATTTATATGTTATACAAAATTTTTGTCTAGTATGAATTTTTGATTATTAGTTAAAAATTTTAAATATTTTATATGTTATATAATTTTAAAAATTATTAGTTTTTATTTCTCTTCATCTTTGACTCCTTTAAAAAAAAAAAATTGGATAACTCCAGGCTGCTGTGAAGGAGCTACTCACCGCTACAAAGTAAGAGGGTTGGACCCTTGATGATGCTAAATGATAATTCTGTTGCTCCTTTAGTAATTCCAAGACTTCAAAACTTAATTAGCAGCTTGGGAATACATTATTAAAATAATCGATCATCCATTAACAATGTTGAACCTTGTTTGTAACCCTTTCAAATGAGTGAATAAAACGTTGCTTTGACACTTGACGGCTCCTAAGTTTTAGTTGAAGTGAAGCCATTTGCACACAAGCAGAAGCGACGAGACGATGTTCTTCTGAAACTCATGATTTAATTCTCAGAATGAGACAAGTTACAATTCATTAACTTATGAGAACCCTTTCGAATAAACAAATTGTCCAAATCATAATTATCTTCTCTGGCACTTTGATAGCTAAGTTTTTCAAGATATCCTTGCGGAATGGTATGCCATAAGAAGGCAATTGCCCTATATAAGTTCCAAGGGTAACCCTGCTCTCCATGTGTATGGTCATTAATTCTAATGGCTGCCATAAGACCCAAGGGCGTTCTGATCTTCATCTTGGTGTCTTGGGCGTCTCAAGCCATGTCTTGTGCTCTTCAAGATGAACCAATGTACAAGAGGCATGAACGATGGATGGCCCGGTAGGGTCGGGTTTACAAGGACGACTACGAGAAGGAAAAACGTTTCAAGGTTTTCAAAGAAAACGTGGCGCGTATCGACTCTTTCAATACCGCCAATGGCAAACCTTACAAGCTTGGCGTCAATCAATTCGCAGATCTTACAAACCAAGAGTTCACAGCCTCTCGGAATAGATTCAAAGGCCACATGTGTTCCAACACAGCTACTTCCTTCAAGTATGAAAACGTCACTGCAGTACCATCTACCATGGATTGGAGAAAGAAAGGAGCCGTAACACCTATCAAGGACCAAGGCCAATGTGGTAAGGTAAGTTAACTAATTTCTAATACAAAACAGTGAAAGCTAAATGAATTCTCAGTACTCTTCATCTAATGTCAATATATAGGATGTTGATGGGCATTTTCTGCTGTAGCTGCAATGGAAGGGATCACCAAGCTGACAAACGGTAAGCTAATCTCCCTCTCTGAACAGGAGCTGGTCGACTGTGATACCAAGGGTGAAGATCAAGGCTGTCAAGGTGGTTTGATGGATGTCGCATTTGAGTTCATCGAAAAAAAATCAAGGCCTAACTACTGAAGCTATATACCCCTACAAGGGAGTAGATGGGACCTGCAATACCAACAAAGAAGCAAACCATGCAGCCAAGATAAATGGACAATAAGATGTGCCAGCAAACAGTGAGGCAGCATTACTGAAGGCTGTCGCCGATCAACCAGTGTCTGTTGCTATTGATGCTGGGGGTTTTGAATTCCAGTTTTACTCGGGTGGCATTTTTACAGGAGCTTGTGATACTCAGCCAGACCATGGTGTTACTGCAATTGGTTATGGAGTTGGAGATGATGGAACTTAAGTATTGGCTGGTGAAAAACTCTTGGGGCACAAGCTTGGGCGAAAAAGGGTACATTAGGATGCAGAGAGATGTTGATGCAAAGGAAGGCCTCTGTGGCATAGCAATGCAAGCTTCTTATCCAACTGCATAAAGAGCAATTTGATACACAAAATCCGCTATTATGAATGCAATACACTATCCCTTCTACTTTTTAATTTGCATCAGGCTCTAGCAAGACTCTATGCTGGCCACATACCAAAACAAGTCTAGAAACTATTGTTGTTGTAATTTATATAAACTTATACAGATACTGAGATACCATCAAGAATTTCCTAATTTATTGGAATTCTCTGCTATGCAATTGACCGCACCAATGGCTTCCTTTAAAGTTTACATGCTATTCAAAGAAACTGACGTTTACTATATTAAAAATATAAGAATATCTGAACCTGCACTGCAAGGTGAAGCAATTCTCAATTTAAAAATCCTTTTGAACAAGTGAAGTTGCTAATGAGTATGAAAATATACTAAAAGAGTGAGAATAGTTATCAAAAAAGATTGGAATCTAGAAAGTGACAATTTTGAGTAACATTCGACCTGTGTTTGTCTTCTTATGGTAAAAGATTAATATCGATGTGGTATATATGTATCTCAATGTAGAAAGAGGCTGACTCCAATATATAAAGTAACAGACTCAAAAGTGCAGATTGCTAGCTCTAGAATTCTACTCACCAATTCATAGATATTTGAATTCAAATGAACCCCTAAGAAGAAGATAAACAAGAAGCAAAAAGGCAACAAAATCTCAGAGGAACTAAAGGCACAATTAGTTAAAGTGTTCCAGGGTCCTTTCTGAGTTGCTTAAGCAGAGCAATTGGTTAATTCCCTGGACTGGAGTCAAGTACCTTTTCCAATTTTGACAGAAGCATTATTTCCCAAAAGCATGCATAACATACTAAGGAAATCTCTAGAATTATCTATTATCCTGAGACGGATGGAGATATTTCTTTCCCTCGATAAGTGAGAGGGATGGAGATCAAGGTCATTCACTCATCTCTCAGGCCAAATGGGCACTGCAAATACTTCTTTAAATGCAAATTGAAAGACATCTAGATTGTTTTCCATTTTAAGTGAAGGGAGCAAATTTGGTGTCGTAGTGCCAAGACAAGCAAGCTTGCAGAGCAGTACCTGATCAAAAATCTCTTTGCATGTTATAAAAATATTCCTAAATGGGTTCTGCTGTCGTCACGGATGTAGGCAATGGATGCCAAACCATGTTAAATATTATATCTTATGTGATTTATTTGTGTGCTGATCTTGATATTAAATATGTTTCTACTTAAAAATCCCAACAAAAGTAACACATCGATAAAACTCCACTATTCATACATTCAAGCAAGTTTCATGAACAACCCTTTCATAAAAGGTTGGCTAGCTCAAGCTTAAAGACCTCCACTTACTAACTTGGTTGACGCAACTCATGTCGCACAAAATCAGCATCTGGGGGCACTGAAATATCAACTGTAGGCCTCAACTGAGCAGAGACTTCAATGGCTCCATGTACTGGATCTGACAGAAAGTTGCTGATCAAATCTTGGTCGATGGGAGTGCCATTGTCCACTGCCACCAAGGCCTGTTGGGTAAGGATGTAATCGAATCTAGGAGCCCATTTTCTTGATCCCAATCGCGCAGTTGTGGAGCAGTTGTCAACCATAAAGGAAACTCCACGAGCATGCATAAATGGATTCAATGAATCCACTGACTCTATCACGCTTTCATTAATGATCTCAGAGTAGGAGTGCCCTTTCTTCCTCAGGATCTCAATCTGCAGTTTTAAAAATCAGCAGCAAAAGATCCTTCAGACAGCATGCATGGAAACTACATCACATATAATTACTCCTTAACATCCAATTGCCAAGATAAAAGAAAAACCTAATTACATACTAATTTTAAGGGTTCAATCATACCTGGGCCATCATTAATGCCAAATAAACACCAGCTGTAAAAGGATATAATGGCCCTAAATCACCTGCTAGTCTTGCCCTCCGTACTTGTTCTCCAACTTTTCACATGCGTGTCTGATCAATTTTACCCATTGGGAAGGCTGGGAGCCCATCCTTTTCCTGTGAAACAATGTACGAAAGAAGTACTCCATTATAACATTAATTTTACAGAAACGAACCTTAATGCTCTGAAAGCAACGTTATCTATAAAATACGCACCGATATTGGGGAGTAGGAATGAGTCCAAGATAATACAACAAAGTCATACGAGATGATAGAAATGAACCTACATAAAAACGCCGCCCAGCCAAGACAACGCTGCAGATTTCATTCCCACAAGCTACATCTTCATAGCACTCATACAAGATATCCATGCATGGATAATATGAACTACCATATGCAGTCTCAAATTCCTTCTTTCCCTGTTCAGAAAAAGAATTGTACACAGTCAACATGCCCTGTTCACCACAAAATAAGATGAAAGTAAGTAAAAATTTTTCCACTAAGTAAACATGCACCTTTTCTATGTGTAACAGAAAGAAATGCAGAGAAAAGAGAAGGTTCAGATGAAAAAAAAAGCTACCTGTGTTGAAATTGTCTTTGAGATAATTCCTGTTATGCATTCAACAGTATTCTTGTAAGCCAGGTCCTCACTCATTCCATTTTCTGTGTATCTTCTAAATAAGGCCTCCACAATGCCATGAACAGCACCAAGCAAAATGCCTAAAACCAATACATCCAAAAGTCAGGCATAGAAAGTTGACTGCACAAAGCAGAAGAGACAATATAAACTACACACCTCGCTCCCCAAAGATGTCACTCTTGTACTCTTGCTCTAAAGTAGTAGCAAATGTGAAAGGCGAACCAAGAGCAACTGACCACCCAAGCGCAACATCAGTAGCTCGACCATCAACATCCTGAGCAGAAAAACAGTGACCCAGTGCCTTAAACCATGTTAAAAATGAGAATCATAGAGGGGCAGAGAGAGTGAGAGAGGAAGAGAAAAAGAAAGAAAAATACCTGGTGGACTGCAAAACTGGAATTAATACCAGCACCATTGATCTCTTTGCCTGAACATAGAGTCTCCTTACTGATGGACCCATTCCTTTGGGACAAACGGCAATTAAGCTAATGTTTTTTGGGAAATCAAGTCCCATAGATTGCAAATGCCCAAGAAGAAAGCCATGCGAGAGACCAAGTATGCTTTTCGGTTTCATGTGTGAGAATATTTTCTCACAACCGTCTGCCTGCACAATGAGATTAAGTTTCTTCCAAAGTCAAAAGAACAAGTAATAAAAGCTAGTAATTTCAACTTCAACTAATGATTTTGAAAGAATAAAATACAGAAATTGTTTCAACAACCTGTGCAGCATCAGATATCAAAAGCAACACAAGATCGCTGCCAGAAATAGTTTCCCATATTTCACCCAGTGTTCCATTTTCTTCAGTGAAACCAGCAGCACGAGCTTCAGCAAAAGAATGAGAACCCTTCCAAGTCCAACCTATAGAAAATAAAGTGATCAATGCAAACAAGAAGTTGATTCAGAAACAAAAAGAAAAAAAAAAGACTTAATCCAAAGAAAAGAAGCAGTTAAATAATCAGCTAAGACCCTAGAAAATACTACCAGTTAGTACAATGAAAAAAAAAATACTGAAAATAAAATTGAAATGAGATCACCTTGACAACAATATCAGATTTTGCTTCTGCAAGGGAATCTCTTAAATTTTGAGCTTGTGCTGGTCCCTGAACAGAAGAAGGTTTTGAATTTGGTAAAAGTCAGTAACATTTGCAACTTTGAGCTTGGACCTTCCTCCCACACCTAGTCTTCAATCTCATTAAAATATTTACCCATCAAGTTAATTTTCCAGTTGTTTATCCAAAACCAGAACAACTCAAAATAAACAGAAAAAAAAAGGCAAAAGATACATGCTTTATCCGCCCTTGGTTGGTAATCCCAGCCCAATAGTGGAACCAGGCTAGATACCAAGAGGCTTTCAGAATTACTAGAAAATAGAAAATTCACATGGCAATAAATTGATCAAAATTGATTAATAGAAAAGCAAAAGGTACAAAGAATTGCAAGATTTTGAGCAGATCACTCACCTGAGAAACCCCACCCAATAACGCCAATCTGTTTAATCCCCTTGAAAGCGTCAGGCAGCAGCTTGAACAAATTTCTTCCTCCTTTCACTATGTACTATATCACATAGTACGTACATTATTGTTTTAAACAAATGAGCAAAAAAAATTAAACAAAACCCTCCAAGGCTCCAAAGAGATTGACAAAAAAGCAAGCCAAACCCATTACTATCAGAAATGAAAAGGAAATAAATTTAAAAAAAAAAAAACTAGTGTATGAGAAACCTCATGCTGACCAGCAAGGGAGACCTTCTCCTTGTTGAAGACAGAGGTGTGGAAGTCGAGCGATGTCGGAGGATTCATAGTTTGCGTCGGAAGCGAAAGCATGCGAAGTGAGGCAGAGCTTTGGCTTTAGCGGTTTAGGGATAGCCTCTGGTCCCCTTCCTTGCTCGCTGCTTTGTGTGTGTACGTTCGTTTCAGTGTTGATAAAGAGTTCTTATTCGTCAATTTCTCACTGGACACTGCTCTGCTCTTCACCTGACGTACAGACGACGTGGGACGCATGCAGATTGATTTTCTTTGGCTAAACGCCACGTTCAGGATTTGAATTTGTCAAATTTTTTTATTTGAAAATTCAATTAATTATTTTTTTTAATTTTATATTAATGTTTACCCCTTTTTTCTTGTTTTATTCATTTAGTTACCATAAAAAGTTAATAAATTCGCATATTTACATTTTATCTAACTTCGTTAGTTTCTTTGGAGATTGGAATTGTTGGAAAGAAGCCCTTTAATTCTCAAACAAGTCTAGAGATGTTCATCTTCGTTATTGGGTTCATTAATTGCCATAATTTAATGAGCAACAAAGTTGCTAATCTCTCTCTAAATTAGGTTTATCATAACTGGATAAAAAAGAAATCGACTTATAGCCATATTTACACCCTAAAAATGCAAGGGATGGGTCATAGACCCTAAATTGAGAACTTTGACATTACCCCCAAAACCAGCAGGAAAATACATTCCCATGTCTTATTTTCTCAACTCAAAACATCCATAATTTTAGTCCTACAATTACATAAAACATAGGGCTAGCCCAATAACACATATAGGTAGAACTACATCACTCATACATGCAAGTAAGTTTTGCCTCAACAACCTGTGTAAGCAGTTGCTCACTCAAGTTCCAAAGATTCTAGGGCTCAATTGCCAGATTGACGCAACTCTGGTCGCACAAAATCAGCATCTGGGGGCACTGAAATGTCAACTGTGGGCCTCAACTGAGCACACACTTCAATGGCACCATGCACCGGGTCTGACAGGAAGTTGCTGATCAGATCTTGGTTGATGGGAGTGCCCTTGTCAACTGCCACCAAAGCCTGTTGGGTAAGGATGTAATCGAATCGAGGGGCCCATTTCCTTGACCCCAATCGTGCTGTTGTAGAGCAATTGTCAACCATGAACGAAACTCCACGAGCATGCATAAAAGGATTTAAAGAATCCACTGCCTCTATCACACTCTCGTTGATGATCTCAGAGTACGAGTGCCCTTTCTTCCTCAAGATCTCAATCTGCAATTATTAACACCAGTGTAAAAAGATCATCAGACTAGCACAAAGGGGAACTATTTTCTCAACGAATCACCATTTTAAAGAGGCACTATATATATATATATTTATATATTGACAATAGAGGCACTGTAATTGGCTTTGCTTGACTGAAGAAAAACATATATTAGTACTACATAATTACATTATCACAATAAGTTGTTGTTTAAAGTACTTACATACTTGTCAGAAATAGAGAGATTTGTTGTTTCAAATTTCAATTACAAAAATCACAGTACTTTAGAGAACAACCTCAGTTTGCTGTAAGCATCATACCTGTGCCATCATCAAGGCCACATAGACACCAGCTGTAAATGGATACAATGGCCCTAGATCACCTGCTGGTCGTGACTTTCGGACTCGCTCACCAACTTTCCACATACGTGTTTGATCAATTTTCCCCATTGGAAAAGCTGGTAGACCATCCTTTTCCTGTAAA